GAGCCTGTACTTGTTTTTTAAATCTCCTCTCCCCGGTGCTCTTTTCCTCCAGGAGAACGTGGAGCTGCTCGTTCAGGAGCTGCGGCGGCCCAAGTACAGCATCTATTTCATTTGTGAGTATGCGCCGTGCTGTCCAGCCCGTCCCGTGCGCCGCTCGGTGACCGGCCCCATGTTCCCTCGGAAACAGCAATGTGAGAGGCTCCCGCTGACAGGCCCTTCCGAAAATGACTGGCCTAAATCTTGAAGTTAAAGGATTCGGAGACAGCGTCGTGACAGATCTCATGTCCCGGCGTTGGACTAAACTGGCTGCGCGGCGTCTTGTGACGCCCGGTGTGTCAGGCCGGTGTTTCTCACGTGTCCTGCACATGCCACGCAATGTTCTGTATCATAGAATCATGGAATGGTTTGGGTTCGAAGGGGCCTTAAAGATCATCCAGTTCCAACCCCCCTGCCATGGGCAGGGACACCTTCCACTAGACCAGGTTGCTCCAAGCCTCATCCAGCCTGGCCTTGGACACTCCCAGGGATGGGGCATCCACAGCTTCTCTGGGAACCTGTCCCAGTGCTCCCACCCTCTGCGGCAAGAATTCCTTCCTGATATCTAACCTGTAGGTTTGCAACATTAAGCAGAACGCCCGCAGCGGGTTTTGGGGCGGTCTGCTCCTCCAGCACAGGTATCCCTCGGTGAGGCTCCGGGAAATGGGCTGAGCGGCCTCTAGATGTCATTGCCGCTCCGCAGGACGGCAGCACCGAGGAGCCGGGCTGCGGAGGGGCCTTGGCTTGGAAAGACTTTGGAAAGGGGGGTGGTGGGAACCCCCCAGAGAGGTGGCATCGTTGCGTTCAGCCTTTTAACATTACTCGTCTCGTACGCACGTAAATCGGACCGCGGCGGGGCTGTAGGTGCTGTTGCTTAACTGGGAGGTGTTAGACCGGGGAGAGGCTCAGCGAGAGCCAGGACTCTCTTTCCAGCGCTGCCGCGTCCCACGGGGCGCTTCGTCCATCGGCTCTGGTCCGTGCTGATCCGGTGCCGCAGTCTCGTACGGGATGTCGGCACCAGAGGCAGAAGGTTGGGCTCAGAGCATCCTCGTGAGGTAACTCCTGGGCTGTGGTCATTGCGGGTGTAGGGCCAAGGGATCTCTGTTGTAATCTGCTCCTGCGCCGGGGGAAAATCCGGTCACACTGTCGGGTGTTGCCTGTCCCTCGCAGCGTCCGACTGTTCTTTCGCTTGTTTTCTTCCAGATTTCAGTAACGTGATCAGTAAGAGCGAGGTCAAGTCGTTGGCCGAGGCTGATGAACAGGAAGTTGTGGCCGAAGTTCAGGTGAGTTTTGTGTATTTTAACTACATCTCCTAATCCAAAAGCACCGGCGGAGGGAAGGTACAAGCTCACAGCTCCGGTGTGGCGGCGGGAGGGCTCTGTAGTTGTCGCACAGCAGGCAGCGGCGCTGCGCCGCAGTCTGGGATGGAAGGTGAGCGCACACGTGGGATCAGAAAGTAAAGGACATCGCAGCTCCCGTGTCCCATTTCCGCCTGTGCTTTGGTTGTCGGAGCCGCCGCTGGTGCTGCTGTCGTCCGTGTTTCACGCGGTGCTGACGAAGAGCTCCGCGCTGGAAAAATACAGGCGACAGGCTCCGTGGGGTTGTGAACACAAGTGCAGGGATTTGAGAGGTTGGGCCTGGAGGAAGGAGCAATGCTCAGAGTCAGTGAGCCCCTGCGTTGTTCAGGGGTTTTAGTGCTACCGTGGCTGATGCCGGAAGGTGTGATGGGTGAGGGCTGGCAGGACACGTAACTGTATTCCCATTCCCTTCTGGCAGGAGTTCTACGGCGATTACATCGCGGTGAATCCACACGTGTTTTCTCTCAACCTCTTGGGCTGCTGCCAGGTACGACAAAAGCTACTGCTCCTCCGGGGTCGTCTTCGATGGTTAAGAGAGAGACCGGTAGCCCCAACAAGCTGGGCGCGGTGGTGGGCTGCTCCTTCTGTCGAGGACCCCTGAGGGGCAGCAGATGGGAATTGGCAAGGAGAGGAATAGTGGGAGTCGGGATTGTGGCCTCTGGCGCACCTCTGCTCCTCCCGTCAAACTAGGGGTTACCCTAAGATTTCAAGACTCGGAAATGAGGTTTGGGGATGGTGCATCCGTACTGGACGCATCTTTTCCTTGTAGGGTCGCAACTGGGAGCCGGCTCAGCTCTCCAGGACGACTCAAGGGCTGACTGCTCTGCTTTTGTCCCTGAAGAAGTGCCCCATGATTCGCTACCAGCTCTCTTCGGAGGCAGCCAAGAGGCTTGCTGAATGTGTGAAGGTACGGTCGGACCCTACAAGCTCATCTAAGGGTGGTTTATTCTTTTCCGTGTTGCTGGGTTTGAGAGAAACGCCCTTTTCCAGTTGATTCCTGTACGTGAGATCAGGTGACTCACGTCTTTTGCCTTTTCACGACAGCAAGTAATCACGAAGGAGTACGAGCTGTTCGACTTCCGGCGCACCGAGGTTCCTCCTTTGCTTCTCATTCTGGACCGCTCCGACGATGCCATCACCCCGCTTCTGAACCAGGTCAGTCACCTCGCCGTCACTCCAGGGGGCTGGGATGGGAATGCGGGTCGGTAGCGGCCGGTCGGCGTTCACACCCTGGCAGGGCCTGGTTTATATCGGAAAGGTAAAAAGTGTTGCCCTCCCACACCCAATTCCATTTGAAATCCCTTTTTTAACTCGTGGCCTGGTGTTTCAGAGGGTTGAGCACACCTGGCGTGTGTTGGATGCCGTGGCAGGTGTAGCCGGCACCCGGAAAACCAGGCCGCTTGCACTTCAGTGGGACACACGTTGCGTTTGGGGTCCCCGTGTCCTTTCCAAGGGTTTCCTGTTGGGCCTCACGCCCAGCTGCTGGGCGACCCTGCACCGCCGTGTTTCTCCCTACTGACGGGTGGTTGTGTTTGCTCTGGAGCCGTTGTGATTTCCTTCGCTGCACTGCATTCTGGCATCAAACAGTCTGTTTGTCTCTTTTCATGGAATCTCGGAATGGGTTGGGTGGGGAGGGGCATTAAACCCCCCCCCAGCCCCACCCCCTGCCATGGGCAGGGACACCTTCCATAGCCCAGGTTTCTCCAAGCCTCATCCAACCTGGCCTTGGACACTTCCAGGGATGGGGCATCCATAGATTCTCCGGGCAGCCTGTTTGAGCAGGAATATTAATCCCCATTATTGCTCTTCTCTTAGACAGTCGGGTCTTGTGAACGTACCCGCAGTAAACACCCTGGAACAGGGTGGTTTTCCCGTGTTTGCACCAGTGCCTCTCGCTACGGGATGCCGCGGGCTCTGGAAATCCATGACCTTGTCGAGGTTGCTGTTGTCTTGCTGAGGTCAACAGTTGCCTTTCTCTTTCGCCATCCTCCTTAGTGGACGTACCAGGCCATGGTTCACGAGTTGCTGGGGATTAACAACAACCGCATCGACCTCTCTCGGGTACCAGGGATAAGCAAGGATCTCCGAGAAGTGGTCCTGTCTGCCGAGAACGATGAGTTCTACGCCAACGTAAGTGTCTCAGTGGGCATCTCCACGAGTGGCTGAATTTGGGGATCGGGTTCCTTCCTTTGTTTTGCCATGCGAAGGGAACTTCCCAATGACTTTGAGCATCGGGGTGGTGATGTGCTGTGCAGCTTATGCAGGTGGTGAAAAATAGAATCATGGAATGGTTTGGGTTGGAAGGAACCTTAAAGACCATCCAGTCCCACCCCCTGCCACGGGCAGGGACCCCTTCCATAGCCCAGGTTGCTCCAAGCCTCATCCAGCCTGGCCTTGGGCACTCCCAGGGATGGGGCATCCACAGCTTCTCTGGGAACCTGTCCCAGTGCTCCCACCCTCTGCGGGAAGAATTCCTTCCTGATGGCCCATCTCCATCTCCCTCTTTCCGTTCAAACCCGTCACCCCTTGTCCTGGCACTCCCTGCCCTTGGGAAAAGCCCCCCCGGCTCTGTTGTAGCCCCCCAGGCACTGGAAGGGGCTCTGAGGTCTCCCCGGAGCTTCCCTTCTCCAGGCTGAACCCCCCAACTCTCCCAGCCTGTCCCCATGGCAGAGGGGCTCCAGCCCTCGGAGCATCGATCTGTCTGCCATGAAAAACCGTGTCCGTGCCGTAGGTTTCACCAAAGCCTGGACCAGTTGCAGAGCTGCTTCCTCAAACCTGGCTCTCAGGGAGGCGGCGTGCAGCGGCACGTCAGTGGTTGGGTCAATAGGGGCCTTGGAAGGGCTCTCTCTCAGATCCCCGTCTCCTTCCGTGCAGAACATGTACCTGAACTTCGCAGAGATTGGCAGTAACATCAAGAATCTCATGGAGGATTTCCAGAGGAGGAAACCCAAGGAGCAGCAGAAGCTGGAATCCATAGCAGATATGAAGGTACGGACAGTCCACACGTGACTGGTGTTTTTAAATCCCATCCGTTGCGGGATAGCGCGGGTCACTTCCGTCTGGACACTGACAGCCCGCGTCACCGGTACCAACGCTCCAGATCTCTGGGGCTGGATTTGTGGAGTGGGAACCTTCTCTTTGCACCGTGCTCATTTCGACGGTTCCTCACCGGAGGCCGGACGCTTCCGTAGGCCGTTGAGCACTGCAGGCGGTCTGCCAGCTTGCTTGTTCCGACCGCTCCCTCAGCTTCCCTTAGGGCTTGCTGGAGCCCCGGGGCCCTACGGTCGAGTCGGTAGAGCCTGGGTTAAGTGCTCTCTTACTCCAGCGTGGCTGCCTGGGCTCGTAGCTGAGCTGGGCCACTGGTGACAGCTGGGAGCACATGGTCAGTTGCTGCTCGAGATGTAGAGAATCCTGACCATGTCTTTGGGGATACTTTCTGTATCCTTTTATTTGAGGAGTCAATAAAAAGTACATCCTTTCCAAAAACCTCCTTGTAATTGGAGAACTCCTGGGGGCTCCTGGGCATGAGGTGCCCCATCATCCACATGCCCGCACCGGTGTCGACCCGGGCTGGTTTATACAGTTTATCGCGGAGCTGTGCACATCCCCCGTCTCTGGGTTCTGTTTTGAAGACCCGGTTGCTCTGGTTTCCCCGTTGCAGGCGTTTGTGGAGAATTACCCCCAGTTCAAGAAGATGTCGGGCACGGTCTCCAAGCACGTGACGGTGGTGGGCGAGCTCTCCCGGCTGGTGGGGGAGCGGAACCTGCTGGAGGTGTCCGAAGTGGAGCAGGAGCTGGCCT